TCCAATTGGTGTAAAATGCGGCCACAAATGCGTTATACATAGCGGTCGGCGCGAACACCTCTCCGTCGCCCATCCATCCCAACCGCTCGTCCCGTTGGGGACAGTCGGTGGGCACCGACAAAAAGTTACCCCTTTGGCCCCAATGGATGTTTGAGTACAACTTGTTTACCATAGCGTTGGACGTCTCGAAATACGAGTCAAAAGCTGTGTCCGAATTCATGACCACTCCCTTTATGCTATTCAGTTGTGGTTCACCCGGGTATCCCGTAATCTCAACGTACCTGAACCCGTGTGTCGTGAAGTTGGGCTCAAATGTGTTATTAGAGGTGGTGTTGGCCTCTGATATAAAGTTATAAATATATGAAAATACGTTTAAAATGTCACAATTTCTATTAAATCTATGCCTTACTGTCCAACACATAGGTATCGATAGCTAAGGCCGTCCGCAAGTTCATTGTATATACGGTTCCGTTGGCGTATAGTGCCTCCGCGTGCCTTAACTGGACTCGACTCGCATTGTATGACTTGGGGAACGTTATCCTAACCCAACCGACCATATTCTGCTCGAAGTCAAACACCCAAACCCCAGGTTTGCTCTCGTATTTATTAGTGCCTCCGCGTGCCTTAACTGGACTCGACTCGCATTGTATGACTTGGGGAACGTTATCCTAACCCAACCGACCATATTCTGCTCGAAGTCAAACACCCAAACCCCAGGTTTGCTCTCGTATTTAGTCTTTGGGGACAACTCTTTGGTCACCCGAACCGGCTCAGCCCTATCAGCCACTATTGCCACGTGTTTGTCGATAGGCTTTGTCACCACTGATGGCCAGTGGCTGTCATCAAACTCGGGTAATGTCCAGTCCTTCACCTCCCGGCTCTCGTAATACAACTCTCCCTGTAGTAGATCGGAGTACATGAGGGAACCGGTGCTCACTTTCCACGTGTTGTCTGACTTAACAATCTGTGTCTTATTGTTCTCGTACTGGATATGCAATTCAAACAACAAGTGCTGATCCAAACCGTAGACATTGTGTTCCTTCTTATAGCCAACATACCCGCTAAACCAGCCTGTCCCCAACAGCACACTTATACTGTTATTTGTGGGCAATAGCTCGCAATGCAATTTATCCATTATATCGTAGGCCTGGTATTGAATCGTCTTATTATAGTCAGTCCAACCGGGACTCAGCAGAGAGTCAGTGATATGAAAGTTATTAAT